CGCCAAAAATAAAAAAATCAAAAACATTTAAAATGGAAAAATCGTAAAGCAGAAATATAGGAAAATTGTGAGAAGTCTAAAAATACAAAAGAGGAAAAATCCGAAATCTAAAAAAATAGAGAAATTGAAGAGTCGAAATATAGCAAAATCGAACCACTGGAAAATCGACAAAATGAATTGAAAAACTGAAAATCGAATTGAAAAAGTAGAAAAGTCAAAAAAATCGGGAAATCGGAAAAACGACATATTGATTAATCGAAAATTCAGAAACGCCAAAATTTGAAAAATAAAAAAACTGAGAAATCTAAAAATAAAAAGTCAAGAAGTCGAAAATTAAAAAAAATGACAAATTGAACAAAAAAATTGAACAATCCCAAAATTGATGTATAGAAAAATGAAGTGATCGAAAGATTGAAAAGGGGAAAATCGTGAAATCGAAAAATTTAAGAATAGAAATGTTGAAAAATCTCTAAACGGAACTATGGAAAAATAGACTAAAATAGAAGAATCGAAATGATGAAAAATCCCAAAACTGAAATAACGAAAAGATCGAGAAATCGAACTGAAAAACTGGGATCGACGCATTGAAAAATCAAATAACAAAGATCATAAAACTGAAATATCGAAAAACTGAGGAATCTTAAATTCCAAAAATAGTTATGTTTGAAGTTTCTAAGCTTCGAATTTTAAAATTCTTAAATTTCTACAACCGTTAAAATTTTTAAATCCCTAAATTATTAATTAAGAACTTGCAAATTTAAATTAAAAATAAAAAAATCGGTACATCGCAAAAATAGTAAAAAAAAAGAAAAGAATTAGAAATCAAAAAACTGAAAAATCGAAGAAACTTGAAAGAATCGAAAAACTGAAAGATAAACAATTCGAGAATTTTAAAAAACAAAAAATTGGAAAATCAAAAACCTGAAAAATCGAAACATTGAAGAATTGATAATCTAAAAATCGAAAAATCGAGTCGTTTAAACAAACTAAAAATCGGAAAATAGAGAAACGGGAAAGCTAAAAACTCGAAAAGATGAAAAATTGTTTAACTGAGAAATCGAAAATTTAGAAACGCCAAAAATCGAAACACTAAAAGTCGTAAAACAGAAATATCGAAAAATTGAAGAAATTAAAAACTGAAAATCGAGAAATCGAGACGTTTAAACAATCAAAACGTCGAAAAGTTGAGAAATCGAGAAATGAAAAAATTAAAAAGAAGAAAAATCGGTTAACGCCAAAAATAAAAAAATCAAAATACTTAAAATTGAAAAATCAAAACAGATATCGGAAAATCTAGAGAAATCTAAAAATAAAAAAGTTGAAAAATCGGAAATCTAAATATATAGAGAAATTGAAGAATTGAAAAATTGATAAATCGAAACATCGAAATCTCGATAAATCCAGAAATCGAAAAATTTTGGAATTGAAACGTTAAAAAATCCCAAAACTGAAATATAGAAAAATCGAAAAAATGAATTGAAAAACTGAAAATCTAATTGAAAAAGTAGAAAAGCCAAAAAAAATGGAGAAATCATATAGACGAAAAATTGATTAATCGAAAATTCAGAATCGCCAAAAATTGAAAAAACAAAAAACTGAAAAATCGTAAAACAGGAATATGGAAAAATTAAGAAAAATCGAAAAATAAAAAGTCAAGAAATCGAAAATTAAAAAAAAAATGACAAATTGAAGAATCAAAAAATTGAACAATCCCAAAATTGATGTTTAGAAAAATGAAGTGATCGAAAAATTGAAAAGGGGAACATCGTGAAATCGAAAAATTTAAGAATCGAAAAATTCAAAAGGTGAAAATCGAGAAATCGAAAAATTTAATAATCGAAATGTTGAAAAACCTCTAAACAGAAACAGAAGTATGGAAAAATAGAACAAAATTGAAGAATAGAAATGTTGAAAAATCCTACAACTGAAATATCGAAAAGATCGAGAAATCGAAAAGTCGAAAATTCTAAAAATGAAAAAATCAAAAAATCAACAACCTGAAAAATCGAAAAATCGAACTGAAAACCTGGGATCGACACAATGAAAAATCAAATAGGTAACTGAAAGATCATAAAACTGAAAAATCGGAAGACTGAGGAATCGGGAGTTGAGAAATCGAAAATTCGAAAAATTGTTATGCAATTTTGACTTTTTGTCCAAAAAAATCTCGAAATATTTAGAACTTGCAGATGGTGTTTAGAATTTTAATAATGTCAAGTATTTTTAACAACGTCTAAATTTTTTTTGCAGATAGAGTGGTTAGAATTTTAATAATTTTAAGTATTTTTAACAACTTCTAGATTTTTTTTAAACAAATAGCGTTTAAGATGTCGGAAATATTTAAAAATGTTTGGATTTTGTAAGCCTGGAATTTTAAAATTATTAAATTCTGGAAAACAGGTAAAATTTACATAATTTAGAGTTAATGTCTAAAATATCCAGAATTTATTTTCCATAATTCAACTGTTAAAATTTTTAAATCCCCAAAATATTAATTAAGAATTTGCAGATTTTTTTTGAAAATTATAGAGCGCTTGGGTTGTTTAGAATTTTAATAATTTTAAGTACCTACTTTTAAAAGCCTCTAGATTTTTATAAAAGTAGCTTTTAAATTTTCAAAAATATTTAAAAATGTTGGAATTTTCTGATTCTGGATTTTCAAAATTCTTGGACTCCAAAAAAAAGTAACCTCTTCAGATTCTGGAATTAATTGGTTAGAACTTATTTTTGAAAGTTTATAGTGTTAAATTTGTAGAAGAAAAGTTGATTACTACAAAAATTTACCATTTTAGACATGTTCAAAGTTTCTTATTGTCGAAATAAGCCTACACATATTAAGAAAAAAAGGCAAAATATAAGCCCCGCCCACCCGCCCTGTCTCAATTGTGATGATTTTTTTAATTCGTCGTGAGCCAAGGGGGCGGAGCTTAACTGCAAAATTCTTATTTCTCCACGAGAAATTAAAGACATGTTTTTGAGCATCGTGTTGTATATTATGAAAAAATTAAAACCAAAGATTAAGCCCCACCCATACCTGCCCTGATGTAAATATACAGTAATCAAGCATTCATTCTTTACAGACCTAGGGGCGGAGCCTAATTGCAAAATCCATATTTCCTTAAAAAAATTTCCCATTTTAAATGTATTTTAAATTTCTAAGAATAAAAAAATCATCACAATTGAGATAGGGTGGGTGGGCGGGCTCACGCTTTACCTTACCCCTTGGAATGTGTAAAATATCCACAATTTATTTTCCATAATTCATTATTTTTAAAATTTCTACAATTGATAAAATTTCCAAATTCCTAAAATATGACTAAACTAAAATAAAACTAACCAGAAAATATTTGCACCTTGTAAGTCTAGAATTTTAAAATTCTTGGACTCTTCAAAAATAGGTAGAGTCTTCAAATTCTGGAATTATTGATTAGAATTAATTTTTGATATTTTCTAATCTTGAAATTGCTTATAAATTATTCCTCGAAGAAGATACTGGAATGTCCAAAATATCCAGAATTTATTTTCCATAATTCATTACTTTTAAAATTTCTACAATTGATAAAATTTTCAAATTCCTAAAATATGACTTAATTAAAATAAAACTATCCAGAAAATATTTGTACCTTGTAAGTTTGGAATTTTAAAATTCTTGGACTCGCCAAAAATACATAGTCTTCAATTTCTGGAATTATTGATTGGAAGTTATTTTTGATATTTTCTAATCTTGAAATTGCTTATAAATTTTACTACGAAGAAGATACTGGAATGTCCAAAATATCCAGAATTTATTTTCCATAATTCATTATTTTAAAAATTTCTATAATTGATAAAATTTTCAAATTCCTAAAATATGACTAAACGAAAATAAAACTATCCAGAAAATATTTGCACCTTGTAAATCTGGAATTTTAAAATTCTTTTGGATCTCGAAAAATAGGTAGAGTCTTCAAATTCTTGACTTATTGATTAGAAGTCATTTTTGATATTTTCTAATCTTGAAATTGCTTATAAATTTTACTATAAAGAAGATACCTGGAATGTCTAAAATATCCAGAATTTATTTTTTATAATTCATTATTTTTAAAATTTCTCCAATTGATAAAATTTTCAAAATCCTAAAATATGACTAAACGAAAATAAAACTATCCAGAAAATATTTGCACCTTGCAAGTCTGGAATTTTAAAATTCTTGGACTCTCCAAAAATAGGTAGTCTTCAAATTCTGGAATTATTGATTAGAAGTTATTTTTGATATTTTCTAATATTGAAATTGCTTATAAATTTTACTATGAAGAAGATACCTGGAATGTCTAAAATGTCCAAAATTATTTTTTTCCAAAATTGTTAAAATTTTTAAATTCCTAGAACGTTTAGAACTTGTAGAAGGAACAAATCGCCAAAAATCTTAATTTCTCCACCCCATTACGAAAACGCCATTCCGGATGAGTGAAACCCGGACCCACATTCAGAAATCACCAGAGCACATACAACATTTATGTAACGTAAACTCAGCAACACCAGTAAAAGCGAGAAAGTAAAAGTATGATCAGTAATTTAATTTAATTGCCCCCAACTACCCGACATTTACGCTATTTCCCGCGACCTCCAAAACCCGAAATCTAGACCTCCAAATAAAAATCTCCGAAAAATAAAACAAAAAAAACCCGCCACATTTGCGTCAGCGGCGAATCGTCCAGACAAAAAAATAAATAATTGTGACAGACAAAATTAACATTTTTTTTTTAATTAATATCGGCGGCTTCAGCTTTTTTGCACTAATTTGCTCAATTAACCATGAAATTATTAATGATAATGTGTATATTTCGCGTTTTTTTATTGTTCTGTAGATTTTCAGAGTAAGAATACTGCACCTAACTCTCCTTCGCATGCGTCTCCAAATATTTTTCGGATTTTTTGACCACTGGTGTTTTTATTTTTTCAAAATCACTACATTTTTCACTCGAAGCATCAAAACAAAAACTCTTAACCTAGCCACCTACCTGCTTCCTAAACCTCAAAGCGCACAGAAACGTCAAAACCGCACTGTTAGTAAACAAGTACCAACCAAAATTTTTCCTTTTATAAGTTTCCAAATTCCGCTCCTCGCCCCCAAAAACCACCCGCGAACTCACTCGCCGCCCCAAATCCAAAGCTCACTACGCACAAATCGTCACACCGAATACCACCCGTGCGAGCCCATTCATATTCTTGCGGCGATATCGCGGTGCACTGGCGGCGTCCATTAGAGAAGAGAATTAGTAGTTATCAGTGGGAAGTGGGGGCAGAATGTGGGACACTTTGCCCATTGGGTTGGTGGTGGTAGTGCGTCAGTACCAATGTCACGGACTGGATGGATGACTGGCTGCACAAAAAGCGCTTTTTGCCGCCTGACGTTTTTGCCAAACTCTTTCTTCGGCGTGACGTCACGCTTTTTTGGAAGGGGATGAGCGCGATTTTTTGGCAAAAACGCTGAGCTGGCTGCGGGCCTTGACCACAACCTTTCAATGGACACGAATCGTGCGAGTAACGTGGCTGGGACTGTAATCATCGCGTTCGGACGTGTTATGTCACAGTTTTCTTCCATTGTTTGTTTTTTTATTGCAGTGAAAGTGCTCGACTGACTTTTCTTGTTTGTTTGATTTTTGATTATAAAGACGATATTCGAGAATGTGGGTTTAGCAGGAAAAAACTCGCCGCTCTTGACCTCTGATAACCGAGAATTTCCGTGTTTGTTGCAACAATTTTTGCGTTTAGTTCTTCAGAGGTACGAGTTTCGGTGTCTATGCAACCCCAAATGCTCTAACTTTGCAGTGGCCACCTACAAACCCAAATTTATTTAGCGTGAAAAAAGCGACTCATCGTAGGCCACTTTACTTAATTAGTAATAATAATAATAACTCAGCGATAAGTGTAAATGTCATCGACGCTATGTGTATCACCTCGTATCTAGTAAAAATTAGCATAATAGGATACATAAACAAGGTTACAATTAATAAAAATAAGTACTTACATATATAGTAAACAACACTTTTTTTTTTCATCGAAACATGTATGTCTTCACGTCGCACAATGTGTTTACGTCAAAAGCCAATTAAACAATTTTTGACAACTAATTTAATCGTTAGACCGGCAATTATTTTTTACAATCATATATAATAGGATACGTAATTTCGCTAACCTAAAATAAATAATAATAGAAGTAGCTCGATGCACTTGCGTAACGCTTAATTGTTGTGTTGTTCACGAAACGGACGAATTCGAATTTTCATAATGTCGATTATTAATATCGTTATCGATTGTGACATTTTTGCGTAGATCGAAAAATTCCATGATGAATTTAGCGCTACGACTTAGGTACGTGGAACTAATTATGTTTATGATTGCTGACAACAACAAAGTGGTTGTCTGTTCTATACCGTGCGTAAATCAAAAACAGGTTCGTCTCTATTGTTTTATGAAAATAAGTGCTAGGATTCAGAGATTGGCTTATTTTGTGCTTGTAAAGGTTGATTGCTCTATTCCGAAGACACCTTGATTGTGTTCCGAATACCCTGACTCTATTTCGAAAGCCCTAACTGTGTTTTGAAGACCCTGACACTATTTCAAGGGCCTTGACACTTTATTTCAGAGGCCCTGAGTTGTTTCTGGAGCCCTGACACATTATACCAGAGGCTTAAACTGCATTCCTGAGGGTCTGGCTGTGTTGCGGGAATCCTGACACTATTCCAGGGAATTTGACACTTTTTTCCAGAGATCCAGACTATGTTCTGGAGACCCTAACTATCTTTCAGAGGCCTGCACTATTCCAGGAGACTTGACACTTTATTTTAGAGGCCCTGAGTTGTTTCTGGAGCCCTGACACATTATACCAGAGGCTTAAACTGCATTCCTGAGGGTCTGGCTGTGTTGCGGGAATCCAGACGCTATTCCAGGGAATTTGACACTTTTTCCAGAGAACCAGATTATGTTCTAGAGACCCTAACTATCTTTCAGAGGCCTGCACTATTCCAGGAGACTTGACACTTTATTTTAGAGGCCCTGAGTTGTTTCTGGAGCCCTGACACATTATACCAGAGGCTTAAACTGCATTCCTGAGGGTCTGGCTGTGTTGCGGGAATCCAGACGCTATTCCAGGGAATTTGACACTTTTTTCCAGAGATCCAGATTATGTTCTAGAGACCCTAACTATCTTTCAGAGGCCTGCACTATTCCAGGAGACTTGACACTTTATTTTAGAGGCCCGGACTGTGTTCTGGACGCCTTACCACTATTCAAGTTGCTTTGACTATGTTCCGGAGGCCCTGACTGTGTTTCGGAGGCCTTGACACCATTCCAGAAAACTTGACAATTTTTTCCGGAGGTCCAGACTATGTTCTGGAGACCCTAACTGTGTTTCGGAGGCCCTGACACTATTCCAGTTGCCCTGACTGTATTTCGGAACCCTTGACACTATTTCAGGAGCCTTGACACTTTATTTTGGAGGCCCGGACTGTGTTCTGGAAGCCTTAGCACTATTCAAGTTGCTTTGACTATGTTCCGGAGGCCCTGACTGTGTTTCAGAGGCCTTGACACAAGTTCCAGAAAACTTGACACTTTTTTCCGGAGGTCCAGACTATGTTCTGGAGACCCTAACTGTGTTTCAAAGGCCTGTACTGTGTTTCAGAGGCCCTGACACTATTCCAGTTGCCCTTACTGTATTTTGGAACCCTTGACATTATTTCAGGAGCCTTGACACTTTATTTTGGAGGCCCGGACTGTGTTCTGGAGGCCTTGGCACTATTCAAGTTGCTTTGACTATGTTCCGGAGGCCCTGACTGTGTTTCGGAGGCCTTGACACTATTCCAGAAAACTTGACACTTTTTTCCGGAGGTCCAGATTACGTTCTGGAGACCCTAACTGTGTTTTAGAGGCCCGTACTGTGTTTTGGAGGCCTTGACACTATTCCAGTTGCCCTGACTATATTTCGGAACCCTTGACACTATTCCAGGAGCCTTGACACTTTATTTTGGAGGCCCAGACTGTGTTCTGGAAGCCTTAGCACTATTCAAGTTGCTTTGACTATGTTCCGGAGGCCCTGACTGTGTTTCGGAGGCCTTGACACCATTCCAAGAAACTTGACACTTTTTCCCATAGGTCCAGATAATGTTCTGGAGATCCTAACTGTATTTCAGAGGCCCGTACTGTGTTTCGGAGGCCCTGACACTATTCCAGTTGCCCTGACTGTATTTCGGAACCCTTGACACTATTCCAAAGATTTTGACATTTTATTTGAAGGCCCAGCCTATGTTCTGGAGGCCTTGACAATATTCAAGTTGCTTTGATGACTATGTTCCAGAGACCCTAACTGCGTTCCAGAAGAAATAACTGTTCTAGAAGGCATGACTGTGTTCCAGAGGTCACTACTGTGTTTCGGAGGCCTTGACATTTTTTGCCGGAGATCCAGACTATGTTCCGGAGGTGCTGACTGTGTTTCAGAGGTCCGGACTGTATTTCAGAGGCCCTGACACTATTCTAGTTGCCCTGACTGTGTTTCAGGAGCCGTGACACTATCCCAGGGCACTTGACCCTTTATTCCTGTGGGCCAGACTGCATTCCGAAGGCCCTGATAGTATTTCGGAGCCTTTGATACTATTCCAGAGGCTTTGACACTTTATTTCGGAGGCTCAGACTGTATTCTGGAGGTTTTGTTGTTTTGACTGCGTTTCAGAGGCCCTGACAATATTCAAATTGCCCTGACTGTGTTTTGGGAACCCTGACGCTATCCCAGGGGACTTGACACTTTATTGTCGAGAGCCAGACTGAATTCTGGAAGCCCTGACTGTGTTTCGCAGACCTTGACACTTTTTCCCGAAAGCCCAAACCATGTTACGGAGGCGCTGACTGTGTTTTGGAGGCCCTGATATTATTCCAGTTGTCCTGACTGTGTTACGGAGGCCCTGACACTATTCCAGTTACCCTGACTGTGTTCCTGGGACCCCTGACACTTTTCCAGGAGCCCTCAATGTATCCCGGAGGTACTGACAGTGTTTCGGAGGTCCTAATTATGTCCCAGAAGCTCTTACTGAGTCCCGCTAAACTTAAAATGAAACCCTAGACGACAAGTGAGTTTGAATTACGTGCCATTTGTTCTCTTAAATGCAACTAGCAATTCTTTCTAAAATCTATCCTAGTTGAGATGGGTAAAAGGGATAGACAATTATGGGATTAGTGTTATTTAAACTTTATTGATTAATATACACTTGACCTCCACTTACTCTTATCCTAGACATCCAAATTTTTGAAAAAAAAAACTTAAAATTGTGTATCAATATTTATACTCCTGCAGCTGCAGACAATTGTATAGCAAGATTTTACGATTTACCTTTGAAACTGCAAATTTTCTGTATAAGATCATTAATTTCATTCTTCTGTCGAATGGGATTGGAAACTAATAGAATATAGAATGTGAAAAAAGTTAAAAAAAAGCGCTAATTGTAAATTTTTTTGTTACACTATTTGCTATAAAATTGATTCACAAAGAACATTCTTACTATGTTTTGTGAAAAAAAAATTATAACAATTTCCCTTTTTATCTACAAAATTTTTATACCGAGCTATTTTGACGTAACTAGCGGAAGATTATCTACAATTTGACGCCAAATTTCAGTCGATTAAACCGATTTTAACCACTTTTTTGGAAAATGTTTGGAAATTTTGAGTTCACTTTTCGTGTTTATTGGACCAGATATCGTGACGGCGATTTCAGAATCGTAACTAGCGGAAGATTATCTACAATTTGACACCAAATTTCAGTCGATTAAACCAATTTTAACCACTTTTTTGGAAAATTTTTGAAAATTTTTTTGAGAAGATTCACGATTTGGGAAAAACGGTAGAAATTTCCAAAAAAAAGAAGCCTAAAATAAGTTCTGGATATCGAAATCTACAAGAAAATGTCTTCAACTAATTTTCGAAAATCAGTCTGATCTTATCAAATACTAACCCCGCTCACCCACCTTCTATTTTCTTAGAGAGTATGTTATTTACCAAAATCACTTTTATCTTAGCAAACACTTGCCCCGCCCACCCGCCCTCTGATTTTTTGGAGAGTATGTCATTTGCCAAAATCAGTCTTATCTTGGCAAGTACTTGCCCCGCCCACCCACCCTCTATTTTCTTGGAAGGAATGTGATTTGCCAAAATCAGTCTTATCTTAGCAAGAACTAGCCCCGCCCACCCGCCCTCTTCTCATTGTAACGACTAATTTTATTTCTGTTCAGCATAAGATCATTTATTTCATTCAGATCGGAAAAATCGGAAAAATTATGTTCTTATGTCGAGTGGAAGTGGACACTAATAATAGAA